TATTATCATAATTGAGCGAACCTTTTAGTATAAGTGCTTTTATTAGTTTAAAATAGAAAAATATTCAAGTTAATTTTACTATAAAAGCAGAATATCAAAACATAAGATTGTCGTTTGTTTGTATCAGTATGTGGCGATATTTATCAGTTATATTTATTATTGCTTATGCGACAATAGTAGAAAGTACTTGTCCACAACCAAAAAAATACTATATTGATTGTACTGCTCCTCAATCACTTGCTAGTTCAGTAAAAATATGTCTCAAGTATGGAATGACTTTATTGAATTTAACAAATTCTTCAAATATATTTGATGACGTCAATGTTCTGAATCAAACTCTAATATCACTGAGTTGTTCAGCTAATTTTTGGTTTTCATCTGGTAATTTGACTGGATTGGTTGCAAATACTGCTAACCTTGGTACGGTACTTACTAATATTCTTTCTGGTCTTCTCGGCACATTAGGAGCAGTGTTGGATATAGTTGGTACTGTACTTGCTTGTCTTCTAGGCGGTTGTCCAGTAACAACAACGCCTGCACCTATTACTAGTGCAATTATCGTTTGTACTCGTTCTATACAACAACGTGTTATACAAAAATGTTCAACACAAACGGAACGAGCAGATATGAAAACATTTCAATTTCTTGAACAACCAATGTATGGTGGCATATTAGATACATTTCCTGCACGAAGTCGAGCAACATGTAGTGGTCTATGTTCAGCAGATAATAGCTGTACTGGCATATCATACATAGATGGAATCTGTAACCTTTATTTATAATATAATCGCACACGAATTATATACAATAAATTTTTGTCGAAATATCGATTATTTTCTATGTGATGTGAGGTTTTATTTATATAAAATAACATCACAAAAGAAAATTGAAACTACCATTTTAGATATATAATTTGTATCATTGATTGAGAAACATTTTCAATGAGTAATACTATGTAAGAATACAAAGATCAATTGTTCTAGTAGAATCGGAATAATCATATATGATCTTTTCAGATACTAAATAAAAAAGGGCGTTAAAATTTTTATTACTGTTGGGATTTACAGTCATATTTTCATGATTTCTTTAAATTTATTATTTTATTATTGAAGTTGATATTCTATATTGAGAACATTTATAATTTTGAAAACATATAGACTTGATTATTATTCATAGTCATCTGATGCTTTTAACTAATGAAAAGATGCTTGTCAAATATCTATCGGAAATGAATTTTTTTTTCCCATGAAATTAATCAAATATATCTTTATTTTTAAGAAATAAAAAAAAGGGGAAAAAGTACAGAATACTAGGACATTTTTAATAAAAAATGAAGTATAAATTTACAGACCAAAAAAAGTATAACTTCATATTAAAAATTTTTTCTCATTAGAAAGTATGGAATGGTTTATGCTACTTCTTTTTATTGTTGGACATATTTCTATGATACAAGCTGATTGTTCAACACCGACTAAATTCTATGTAGATTGCGGAACAACAAGAACAGTTAGTGCTGCTAGTCAATACTGCTCAAGTCATCAAATGACTTTAATGGATTTAACTAATGGAACAGCTACGTTAGCTAGTGATATTGTTCTACTTAATGTTACATTCAGAGCAAGAAATTGTAGTGGCAATTTTTGGTTTTCATCTGGCTCTCAGTTAGTAGCTGCCAGTACTAGTGATATTAATAATTTACTAGGCACTTTGACAAACCTAGTAGGTGCTGTTCTATGTGTTGTACCACTTTTATGTCCAACAGCAACAACAGCAGCACCAATTGTCAATGCCTACACAATATGTACTCGTACAAATCAGACAAATTCTATACAAAAATGTGCAAGCACCGTTTCACGATCGGATATAAAACTGTATAAATATACCCAGAAAAGCATGTATGGAGGTGTATATAATGTACTTTCAACGCAAAGTAAATTGGCATGTATCAGTCTATGTTCATCGACTGATGTATGCACTGGTATGTCATTTAATAGTGGTACATGTACTCTTTATATGTAAACAATATCTTCGCAATACATAATGAACAAAAGAAAACATTACAATTATTCTCTTTAATGTATAAATTATAATTAACAAATAAAAAATAAAATAATAATTGTTTTTTTTTCATTATCTTGATTTTTATTCAAAATAAATCATTATTTATATTTGTTATTCTCGTTGCTATAGTAAATAAGAAAATATATTTTCACCTTGTATATGTTACCGGATGTATGAGAAAATACAGCTGTTTAAATTTTCATTCTCATAGGAGTTATATTGACAATAGAATAAAATGCACTTGTCTATTGCCAGGGCCAAAATTAAATCGGCGTAAATGTAAGACAACGATTTCAATATCAACAATAATCGTTCTTTCTAATCGATAAGGTCAAAATCAGGGCATTATCTACTTTACTGCTATGCATAATGATATATTTGTTATTGAAATTTTGACTGTGTCCTCGGCAATGAGAAATAAATCTACAAACTAATTTATTATATTAGAAATCAGCTTGATTCTATGCTTTAGATGTTTATGACAAAGAATATTAAAAATATAGATATTTTATTTTTCATTAACAAATAAATGTTAAATCATAAAAGTAATTACTAAAAACTATGAATATTATTGAGCTATTTTTTTAATCAAGTTTCTCGAAAAAAAACTGTTGCTGTTTTTTTATTAGTCAACAAGATTATTCATGATTTCAATTATGATGTGATGGTTGCTGGGAATTGTAAACAAGCATAGTCATTCTTTTGATCATCAGCAACCAGTTCAATTTTCACATAAAGTGAAATTGCTGGATATGAAGATAATACTGGTAATGAAAATGAGACTACATTAGCATCACCTGAAGCAATTGGACATTTAGCACCGAGTTTACAAGCATTTGGTTCACCTATTGGAAATGGAACTGGAATACCACCAATTATACCTTTAATACATCAATAGAAGTTACTTATTTAAATATAAAACAAAAAAAATGAATGTAAATTTCTTACCATGTAAAGCAACAGTAGCAGTAGCTGATGGTGCTTTTGCTTGAACTGTTAAATTCATAGAATATGTATGACCTTTAATGAATTTACATGGAACTGTTGTACAATCAGTTACTTCAAATGCTTGAATTGTACCAGATGGTGATCCACAATCTTTAAATGGTGTTGCACTCCATACTAAATTTGATGAACAACATAATAATCCAAGAATAACTAATAAAAACATTTTTGATTTGCAAATATGAAAATCATACGATGATCGAACCATATTATATATATGTCTAGTCAGGTGGTTTCTATTCTCATCTTCTTTTTTTTTTAAATAAATGACTCATTTTTATTCCTTTTAATTTGTTGTTGTTGTTGTTTTATTTTACATACGATTCTATATTATCATGATATTTATAACAATAACAAAAATTAAGTAAACAAATATATAAATACATATAATGAAATTAGAAAAAACTGCGCTGTATAGATAGCATACAAGCGAAGATATAACACAGAAACAAAAAGAGGTCATAGTGTATTGATTAAGAAATTTATAAGAAAAAGAAAAATGAAGTAAAAAAATTGAATGAATAAAGTTTTATAATTTCTTTCGCATTTAACAGTGATATATTATCTAATTCTGATATGTAAGAATTTCACATTAATAATATCATCATTATCATAATTCGCACCAAGCAATGGAACAACAATGTGAAATCTATTAGGGTTTTTTTCTGTTATTCTAGGAAGTAAAAGCACAAAAGGAAACAAAAGAAAACGACTTGTGCAACACATCTGACAATCAATGATAAGTTGTATTAGTATTGAATCGCATGACAAAAGTATGAAATCCGATTAAAAAAGAATGAAAAGATCGAGTATTTTATAGAGTATATGTATATCTACATATATGAAATACTACACCTTTCAAAACACAAGCAAACAAACAAATCAGATCGACAAGATAAGCAAAAGGAAAATATAAAAAAAAAAGAAACGAAGATTATCAATAGGACAAAGAGAATTGTAAAACACATATTGAAATGTACAATGTTGATGAATTTATAGTTTCTAGAACGAGTACAGCTCACTGTTTATAGACATAAAAATAAAAAAAGGCACCGGGCCATTTAAATAAACATTCAGGCGTATCGATTTAAACTGCTGTCACTTGTTCATGATCATCATAATCTCCATTTGATTCTCCTATAAATTACAAAACAAAAACAAATGTCTCTATACAATTATAATTTATAACAAACCTTGATTAAGATTTAGTTCATTTTGAGACTTTGAACGTTTTATCCAAGAATGTATTATTATCGGTCTTTGATCATCGTCATGCTGATTGTCTAAAACCAAAAATAAAATTCTTAAATTTTGTGATCGGATTATATTAGGAATGCACATATCCAAGTCAATAATTGATACTACACTCTCAATGATTGAGATATTATTCTAAATGTTGTGAATGCTAACAATTTGAACTTAGCGAAACTATTAAAAGTATAAAAAATATGTTATTAACTGATGAACTTTGATAGATTCGAAGAAATATTCTCTTGCTCTTTTTTGTTTTAGTAATATTGATTAGTTTTTATTTTACTTTCGAAATAAAATATTCCTACAGGCATGATTTAATCGATTAATTTTTTATATTTTACTAATTACAGCTTTACCTTACATAAAAACTTTTTCCGTGTTTAAATTTCTATATTTTATATAAACAAAAATACAGATATTTATTTTAATTTCTTAATTTTACCTGTATTTCCTTGTGCTGCTATAGAATGACTTCGATTTTTAATTGATGAAAATCCATCACTGATTGTACTACTCGTTGATTTATCACTTCCACTACCTGTAATATCTATAATATAATATTTTTAATAATAAAATATATATCCTATTTATCAAATACATACATGTATCTGTTGATTTAAGACTACTGATTCCTGAATCACTAATTTTCGATAGATCATTATTATTTTGACTGGTTTCTGCTGCAAAAGAGAATTAATTTGTTTTTTTCTAATACAAAAAAATCACATACGTTTATGATGTCGAATAAATAATACTGATGATGCTGGTTTTAAATTTAAACTTGAACTTTCACTTGTTAATTTATTTGCATCACGCATTTTCGTTACTTGATGATGATAACGTCGTTGAGTTAATTCACTAGTTGATGTAAGTCCTGTTAATGTTATTGAATTATTAATTAATGGCGATGGACTTCGAAGAATAGTATTGGATTTTTGTGGTGCACGAGATTTTATTTGATGATTACTATCTGATAGACGAAGTAATTTATTAACAGCATCTGGAGATTGTGTACCTAAGAAAAAAAAAAATGGGAATTATTTTTTTGTTTTCGAAGATTAATAAAATATAATAAGCATAATCAAATAATAGGACAAAAATACAACAATATTTAAATATCTGTTTACCTGAAAAGGATTCTAAATGAACGAAAGATAAATATTTTAATCAATAAAAGTTTTTGGGATGATATCAAAATCTCGAAAACAAGAATAAAGGAAAAAAGAAATATCGAAAAGACGAAATCTTGAGAAATTGTATTTTCGAAAGAGGAAATCTCGAAAAAACTCGATAATCGAAAGAGAAAATTTCGAGAAACCATCTTGAGGGTGTGGGTATGAGTGTGGGTGTGGGTGTGGGTGTGGGTATGGATGTAAGTGTGGGTGAGGGTATGGGTGTGGGTGTAGTTGAGAAAGATAAAATCATCCACGCCCATTCTTCAAAGTTAGCGTAAGAAAATGTT